GGTGGTTCAATTAAGTGGGGGGCAAGAGGCTACTCCATGGGGACACAAAGGGGGAAGTAATCAAGGACGACAAAGAAAAGACAGACTGATTTGGGCATGGAAAAGCTTGATACCGTTTGATGATTTCTAACCATTAATTCACAGTTTAACAAACCCTGTTGTTATGACGAAAGCTATGTCTTGTGTTATGGAACCAAACGTGGAAGAGAGTAACCTTGGAGGTACCATGGTGGCGGGGGGGGGGGGGTTGTACAGAAAAATAAACCCAGTTGTTGGGTTTATGATTTTACCAAAGACTTTAGTGCAACATTCCCTTTCCCTAATGAAAATCAGTATCTCTGAAGCCGTTCTTTGTCCTGAGAGCAAACCACATTTTCCATCCTGGGGGCAACTAACTGCCAGTGAGAAGAAATTCTCACTGAGAAAACCAGCATGCAGGGGAGAGGCAGCCTACTCTCTTCCTAGTCCACAATGGCCATTTGAATCAGGCCCCACCACAACTGTGTTCACAAAGTCTTAAGAGTCATATGATCTAAACACTCATAATAAATGTACATTTTTCATCTTACAGATTTTTAAATGGGCTGATTTGGATACTAAACATAAGGCTTTCTCAGTCATGGCTGCTAATTTAGGAATTTCTTCCCAGAAGAAGAATGACCTCATTACTGTTATTTTCTCATTGTTCTTAAAAACATCTGAAAATGTATTTACACGACAGTTATGAGACCAGTACTGAGAAAACCTTAACAGTTGGTAACCTAACATTACTCATTGGTGGGAGGGAGCACAGAACCCCTGATAATGCATTAAAAGAATAGACCACCCATTATGAAGGACAGATTTATGATGATGCACCAGGCACCAATATTCCCACTATTAACATTTGCAACATACTGCACATGAGAAAACAGAAACCCCCATCCTCTATTCCTTTCTGCATTTATTTCCCCATGTAACAGATCTGATTTCCTTCCACCTCTCTTTGTTAGAACTGTCTTTGTGCAAGGGCATACCTTGGCATGCCAAGTTATTGCAGACTCCAACATTTACACTGCTACACACTGCAGGCTGACTCAGTCTCCCAGCTGTCATGCGAAGGATGTGTATCAGAGTCCTCTAAGGCTATTGAGTCAGTTTTAGCCCTTTAAAATCCTGTCAAGTTTGGGGTTTTTTTCCCTTTCTATCCAGTTAGACATGGGCCTCGAAATATATATACAGTATGCCAATCTGTCATACCTCTAAGCAAACAAAGCAATATGTCATCATATTTCTGCTGCGTGTACAAAAAAAGCTATTCAGCATGAGCTACATTTCTCCTTTGCTGAATCTATTCTTAGGATTCAAATGGATAGCCAAAAAAGCACTTTTAACTGAATCTCTTGTATCATCACTGGTATAATCAATGGCAGACAGTCATGATATGGCTACATTATGAAGGAGATTGTCTATTCCTTTTGCCTTTGTGCAATTCTTCCTATGTCTTCTTTTCACTACCAGCTGTTTCACACTGAGGTAAACTTTGATGGTACCTAGCACCTACAGCAGTGGTCCCCAACCTTGGGCCTCCAGATGTTCTTGGACTTCAACTCCCAGAAATCCTGGCTAGCAGAGGTGGTGGTGAAGGCTTCTGGGAGTTGTAGTCTAAGAACATCTGGAGGCCCAAGGTTGGGGACCACTGTCCTACAGGAAATGTGATTCTTCCAACCACAAAACACAAATAGTTACTCAAACCCAAAAGGTTCATAAAATATCCAAGGAGGGGAGGTATAATTACAGTGACTTGATGGGCTGCTCTTCAAGCAGTTTGCAACACATGACTCTGTGCTACTGCTCCCATCTTGTGCACTGGGGGTACTGGCTGAGAACATAAAATACCCCCTTTGAAAGCAATTATTCAGCAACAACTAGAATACGAAGTTTAGGGGAGACTAACAAACAACACAGGAACAGTAGTATGTTACATACTGCAGAGAGGAAAAGGGGACAAAGGAATAATTCCCTATGAAGGGACGCTGATGCATATGAAAAGTCAACTGCAGGGTGCAATAGACAGTAGGTTAAAACAGCACAAAGTGTCACATTTAAAACTCTCTCTCTCTCTCTCCTATTTATCAACATGTTATCATCTTTTTACCTGTTTTCCAAGATACAGATACTTGAGAGCTGGTGTGAGGCTGTGGTTTTGACAGACCATATGTGAAAACAGCTGACACACTTTCAGGGACAAAGGAATTACCAATAAGGGAACAAGCCTTCTAATATACTTTCTCTTGGTTTAAAACCAGGAATTTGGAATGTCTCTACTGCTACAAGGAGAGGAGAATTTCATCTTTCCCTTTCATGCTTTTTCTTCAACTCAAATCAACAGCAAAGCTATTATTACCTGGTGGGGGATAAGGGCCAAGATTTTACCTGCCATTTCCTCCGACAGTGACAAACAGCAGCTTCAGGGTCAAAGAAACAGTGTTAAGCTCCCCCTTCTCACAGAATCATCATGGCCATGATCCAAATCCTTTCCACCTCCACCACTGCTTTTATACAAAGAAAAAGACACTAAGAAGTTTAACTTTTGCCATGGAGAATACACACCATATTACAGTTAAGATAGCACTACACTGATCTGTGAAAAACAAGTCCAATTATAATCTCTAACAGATCAGCCTGTACTTGAAATAACTGGTTATGAAATATTTGTTTTTGCACCTGGTGTGATTTTGCCCATGAACACTTTATGTCTCAGGACTATACAATACGCTGTGTAAACAAAAACAAAACAAAAAAATAAAGAAGACGCCTGCTATATTTTAATGTGAGCTTTTATGGACGAAAGCTCACATTAAAATATAGCAGTTAGTCTTTAAGGTGCCACAATGTTTTTGTGTTTATTTTTTTAGTTTTTGTTTTATTTTTGCCTGACATATTAGCACAGTCTAACAGGGCTACCTCTCTAAAACTACAACAGTGAGAACAAATTGCTTCAGAAATGCCATGTAGGGATAATAATGTTTTGTGTTGATCAGTGGAGGCAAATTCATGTAAAAAAATTGTATTTAATCTTGCAATGGTCAGGTGATAAACATGCCTCTGTGAAGCCACCTTTATTTTATGGGAAGGGATAACAAACTAAGAATTCAATCTTCCACCAACCTCATAACTGCCTGCAAGTCTGATATGCCATTCCTATCCCTCCTACCTGCCAAGGATTACCAGCCCATACATTTACAATGTAAATCAGAGCCCCTCAACCCTAATCTCTAACAGATCAGCCTGTACTTGAAATAACTGGTTATGAAATATTTGTTTTTGCACCTGGTGTGATTTTGCCCATGAACACTTTATGTCTCAGGACTATACAATACGCTGTGTAAACAAAAACAAAACAAAAAAATAAAGAAGACGCCTGCTATATTTTAATGTGAGCTTTTATGGACGAAAGCTCACATTAAAATATAGCAGTTAGTCTTTAAGGTGCCACAATGTTTTTGTGTTTATTTTTTTAGTTTTTGTTTTATTTTTGCCTGACATATTAGCACAGTCTAACAGGGCTACCTCTCTAAAACTACAACAGTGAGAACAAATTGCTTCAGAAATGCCATGTAGGGATAATAATGTTTTGTGTTGATCAGTGGAGGCAAATTCATGTAAAAAAATTGTATTTAATCTTGCAATGGTCAGGTGATAAACATGCCTCTGTGAAGCCACCTTTATTTTATGGGAAGGGATAACAAACTAAGAATTCAATCTTCCACCAACCTCATAACTGCCTGCAAGTCTGATATGCCATTCCTATCCCTCCTACCTGCCAAGGATTACCAGCCCATACATTTACAATGTAAATCAGAGCCCCTCAACCCCCAGTCTGTGGCCTACCCAGGACTGGGCCATGGATATGGATCTCCTACCCCCCTGCAAGCAAACGCATTCCGCCCCCTGCAAGCATGCTGTGCACATGCACATGAGCGCCCTCCACAAGCATGATGTGAGCATGCAAGCAAGCGAGCTCCGCTCCCCTGCGGGCGTGCCACACACACACAGACCAACCAGTCCACAGTTGAGTTGGGGTCCACTGGTGTAAATGAGAGCTCTAATAACAAAGACTGTAAACATCCAGCTTTTCAGCAGAAAGTGGCCCCCAGATTCTTTGATGGAGTAACTGATGGGATTTAAGATATAAAATGTTTGAGAAGAACCCCTCAAAGAACTGTTCATACTCACAGCACAAACAGTAAAGTCCTAAAACCATTTCTGTGCAAGAACTACTTTGTCAGGACACTCAGATGTGAGGTCCTCACCATTCTCTCTCCCTGCTGTGCTCATTTCACTACAAGCTCCTCCCAGCAGAATTGCAGCAGTTTTCTATTATGTTAAGGTGTGGCTCTCAGCCCTAATCCATACCAGCTGTTCAAAAATTCAGCCTGGAGTCATGTTTGCATCCTGCAAACTGGCCCTCTCCTATCCGTTTTAAAGCTGTAACTAGCAAAGAAGAGGAGCAACCCAGATAAAAGGGAAACACTGATATCAGTGGAGCTCAAATGTGCTTTGCTTTGGTTTCTCTTCAAAGGATATCCATAGACTTACTCAAACATTCTGTTTCAAAGCAGCAGCAGCATTTCAAGGAATACAACAAACATTTTCATCACAGGAGACACTGCCCAGGTAAATTTTTCCTAGTCAGAACTCTGGTATTCCTAAAAGTTTCCTCGCAGAAAAGTTTCCTAACACAGAGATGTTAGACATATCCTTGACCACAATTCCAGCAATCATCCTGTTCATTTCTCACCCTACAGCAACCTTGTTCCAGCAATGCAGAAAATAACCGTCTTCAGTTTGGAATTGCTATTGGCCTACAAACCCCACTGAGAGGATGCCAGAGACCTGTCAAATTCAGATACAGCTTGAACCCAATCTTCTCCAACATCAATGTTCAGGAGCTATTAAAACATAACCTTTATTTCTAACAAAAGCTAGGCATTTCAAGAGCAGCAAGAGGTACTTACGAGATGTATGCAGGATAGGCAAACCCGATCAGATTGCAAAGGAGGGATGCTCCATAGCCAATCACCAGATAGATGGCCAGCACAGCCAAAATGGCTAAGAGAGAAAGCAGAAAGTCAGTCAGGGAGGCCTGCAGGAACAATGCAAGGCCCTGCCCAATTGTATAAAGCAGATGCGCTTTTTTAATGGGAGAGGCCGAAAGACAACTTCGAGGGAACCTTTCATGGTGGTCAAAACTCAACCCTAGTTCCCCATAACCAAGGAGCTGTTGGGCTGCTGCTGGTGTTGAGATCTAACCTGTAAGGCTGAAAGGGTACATGCCCGAAAGGGGAAGCAAACTTGGGCCCCCGCTCAGCCCAGACACGTCAGCTAAGGCGGCTTCCATCTACTGTAGAGGGAGTTAACTCTCCTCAGCTCCTTCACTCCGCCCCCCCTTTCTTTAGCAACATCCGCAAGGCTTCCCCCAAAAGCCACGAACACGGGGTTAGGACCCTCCTCCCGGCCCCGTTAGTAGGGCCTCGTGATCAGTTCCCCCCCCCTCAAAAAAAGCTGTTTTTTGACAAAATGGCTCAACGGCCGTCGGGAGAAGAAGGCAGAGAGAGATTTGGGGGGGGGAGAGAAAAAAGGAGGGGGAGAAAAAAGGAAATGGCCTTTGGTAACCGGAGAGCAGCCAGTCCCCGTTTGCCGCTCGGTCTGCGGAGACATTCAATCCCAGGGAGCCGGAGACTCCCGCTCCTCCTTTTCCAGCCACTCTCAGAAGCAAGGCTGCCCATAAATGTCACCCAAGAAGGAGCGGCAGCCAGAAGCTCCAGCTGCCACTACCTATAAGGTGGCTGGCGGGTAAACATACAGGCTCCTCATTCCCTAAGGGTGGAAGATGCGGCCGCGGCGACGGCGGGGGGGGGATTTACTGGCAGGCGCGGTGGCCTCTCTCAAGTTATATTTAACAACCTTCAGGGCGCCTTTGGAGCACAGCCCTGCGAACTGCCACTCTCCTCTGCACCGGAAAATGACCGCCTGCGAACGCCCGGAGAGGTGTAAATAAGTGCTGTGAAATAAAATGTCCGCCGCCAATGACGGGTTTTGCCTCCCTGGGGCCAGGAATCCCTCCCTCCTTTGCCTCTTTCCTTAGCAGGGGATGCGATTGCTGGCTTGGCAGCCTTGGGGGGGAGGAGGAGGAGG